ATTTTTTATTTTATTTAATTCTTTTTGATTAATTTTTATTTTTATTTGATTCGTTTTCTGTTTTTTTTGTTTTGAGGTTTATTTATTCTACGAAAGTTTTGGATCCCATGGCCATATTTCCTAACAACCTCTAGTGATTATACTACCCCAGGTCAGGTTAAGATAATTAGATAGTCACGAGAGGTTGCCAAGTAATATCACTTGTACTTAGATGTTTGCAACATTACTTTTTCCTTTTTGAAGATTTTATTTTCGGTCTCTGTTCTTTTTTGTGGAGTATTTCACAAAGAATTTACGATCCGTTTCATTTCATAAAGTAAAAAATTAAAGCTCGGTAGTCCTCACTTCCTAATGGGTACAGTACAGATAGAAGATACAAACTTTTTCTTGCTAAAAACAAGAATTTAATTTTTTAATTTTTCTGTTTTAAATTTTTTTGTTTTTTTATTTTATTTAGCTTTTTGTTTCTTACATTGCTTATTTTTTTGTGTCCTGTTAAGTCTATTTAAAAAAAAAATGTTATTTATATTTTCTCCTGGCGAATTTTTAAATAAAGATAACAAATCTTCACTGTAAATCTTACAGCAAATCGATGGGGTTTTATTCATGAATTTTTATTTCTTCAGAATGAAAGATTAAAATAATTTAGAAAAAAATAATAATCGTTAAAAAACAATTTATATTTTAAGAATGGAAATCCATCAATTTTCTCTCTTAAAAACAATCACATATGTTTGTTACAACCATTTTGGTAAAAAATGTATAAAAATTGTAAGTCTGGTCGTTGGGAGTCCCAAAAAGTCTGATTTGATTTTTAAAAACTTACTTCTTTTCACGAGATGTCTTGTTGTATTTTATTTGTTTATTTTGTGATTTGTCTGGCTTCTGGGAACTGATGTTTGTTAAAATATTTATCTAAAAATAATTGCAAGACGTTTCTTTTCCCAACTTCCATTAAATTGTAATGAACTTGGTGTGCGATCAGGTAGCAAACCTTGATCCCTGGGAAAGTGCGGAAATAAATTCGCGGATTTCCCAGCCCTCCCCGTCTCAGCGGTTCTGCCAACCCGCCGCTCCCGCCAATTCTTGGACAGTTTTTCCTGAAAGTTCTCCCGCACCGGTGAAAAATGCGTGGGGACTGCCTTCTGCTGCAAGTGCTCCGCCCACCACAACCCGCCCCGCCCCTTCAAAACCATTCTCCTATAGTAACAATAATGGATTTTTAAATGGCTTCAACAGGTTTTTATTTTATTTTATTTTTGTCAATTATTTATTTATTAGTTATTTGTTTGTCAGAAGTAGATTGTTTTTTATTTTTCTGTTTTGTTTTTCTTCATTAACTATTAATTATTTTTTTTTTTAGCAACCTGCCCGTGGCTGGCACCCCTGTTTCTTCTGGGGCCTCTCCTGCGGGTAAATATTCATTTTAAAAATTTTATATTTAAGTGGGTTTTTTTTCCAAAAAAAATTATACTATTTTATTCCAGACATTTACATTGCAACCCTAAAACCAGGAATGTAAACTTAGATTGCATCCCTTTTTAGGGTTGTTGTTACGCGAGCCATGCTGCGTATAGAAAGTCTGTTTGTCGCCCCTGTGTATTTCTGAGTTCCTCCTGAAGATCTGTACGGAATGTATTGTGAAAGAACTAGTTTAGGAACTGTTTACAGTCCGACTGCGCAGACGCAAGATTTCTCGCGGANTTGTTCCTTTGTTTCTTTGTTCCTTTGTTCCTTTGTTCCTTTGTTCCTTTGTTTTTTTGTTCCTTTGTTCATGCATTAATTCATTTAAGCATTCATTTAATCAGTTGTTTTATTCATTTATTCATTCTTTCATTCATTTATCCTATAATTATTAATTTAAATAAAATGTGTACTGAAGAATTTTACCAATGTGTAGTGTACTGTGTACATAGAACCTAACAAATGTTTTCTTTATTTGTACTGCAAAAAGTGTCATAAACATGTACAATATATACAAACTCATTATTCTGAAGGTGGGTTATAATTTCAAATATTAAGAACTGTAAACAAATGTAAACAAATCATATTAAATGTAAACAAACTCTAATTTGTAAAGGCGGTGTATGATTTTGAACATTATGTACTGTAAACAAATGTAAACAACTCTGATTTAATGTTAACAAACTCTAATTTCTAAAGGCGTTGTACGATTTTGAACCAGAGAATGCTGGTGAGCTGGGGTTCAAGGAGGGAGACATCATCACCCTTAAGCAGAAACTGGATGACAACTGGTAAACATTAATAATCATCCTGCACCCCCTGCTTAATCCAATCAGCTTCGCCCGGCACCGCAAAATTTTGATGACAAATTTATTACTAAATCTGCCTTTTTCAATGCTTGCAAATTACAAACTGCACTTTTTCTTTCCCCAAAAAATCAAATTTAGAAATGATTTTTTTATCTTTGTGAAAAAAGCATGATTAGAAGAGGGCTGGGGAAATCAATTTTTATTTATTTTTAAAGCATGATTATTGAGTAGAGGGTTGGGGAAATGATTAAATAAATCCTGAGCATGATATTGTTGTTCAGGTTTGAAGGAACCCTGAACGGGAAGTCGGGATTCTTCCCGATAAACTATGTGACCGTGTTGGTCAACTAAATTGTTATTCTTTTTTAATTTGCTGTCCACAATTTTTATCAATGTCATTTTTATTAAAAAGTTTGACGAATATTGAAAGATAAAAGTACATTGATACTCTACTGCTGTTTCATGGAAAAGTGGGAAGTTATATCTATAAGCACTTGTCTCATTTCTTCCATTCTGTTTAATCTTTATAATTTTCAGGCAATTTTTTTACCAAAAAAAAAATTATTTCAATTGGTTCATTTTCATTTTTGCCGGTTAGCTCAGGGAGATTTTACGTTATCAGTCTTTCATCTATCCGGATCATAAGTTCTGGTTTTAACTGAAGTCATAAAATCCATTTTTTACTTCAAAAAAGGACTGAGGCCGAATTAAAAGAATTTTGACACGCGTCTCAAACATAAATGGTTCCAATTAAAATTGTATATTCTATGTTTCAAGATTTAAGCCGGCGCTATATTGAAACCGGTTTTTGGTGGACTTGAGACGTGGCATAATGTTCACGTGACCCTTCATGCAAAGATGGCAATGCCTGATTCACAACAATGCCCTTAAATCTTGAACAATAAACTGGAAGTTTTTCGAGGTTTGAAATTATTTAATTCTGATAATTCCTGTATATTTTCATGCAGTATAGACATGTGCAAGTTACTGTTGTAGAAAAATCACAATTAAGAATAATTCATTTTCAAAATTTCGAACATTCATATCTAACTCATACTTGATCAGACAAAGGGTACTGTTGTGAATCGGACATTGCCATCTTTGTATGGAGGAGGGTTACTTGAAATTACGCTGAACATGAACCAATGATGTTTTTAACAAGATATTTGTAAAAGAATGTTTAAGAAAAGAAAAAAATTACACACAAATTTGTTTTAAGATATACAGAAAACTCAAGTTTTTTAAATTCATTTACGGAAGATGATAAAATTTACAGTCCCCATTTCTAAAGAAAAAAGAATTTTTATTTGTTTAATTTTTATTATTTTCAGGCAGCTTCGTCCTCCCTGCCTAATCCTGATTGTTGTGATTAGTCCACAGCTAGCGAGCTGGTAGCCAGAGGCGTGGCCAGGGGGGCGTTCCCAGGCATGAACCAGGGGTGTTCCTAGAGCCTCAGTCTCTTCCTCTTTTGTCAAATTATATAATGTACTTATACAAACATGTAAGCCCGGTTTTGGAAGTGCCGCAATTTTTAGTTAAAAGCAAACAAGATGTATTATGTAAACCTTATCAAACCATCTACTTGTTTTCGTGTTACTTCAATACTTTCTTTCCTCATAATTCGCCACATATTGTTGGTTAAAAATAGGACTTTGTCCAAAATCTTCTTTGTTCTCTGTTTTCACCTAAACCGCGGCTCTAATTGTTAACCTCAGGCTAACATTAAGCCTTTTATATCCAGTGCTTGTCTCGTGTATTTTGTTTATCAGGCTTTATAGCAGTTATTGGTTTTTATCTAGTTTATTCCGACGTCGGACAAATCTACGAAATTCTCAACAAGAAAATGGCGCATTTTTCCTCTTATTGTTGAATGCATTTATTCTCCTGTTGATTTTATCATATCAAAACTTTGTTAACACTTTCTTGTCCAATCTCTCTAATCAAATGTGTAACAAATATTGTTCTAAATGTTCAATTAGGAGGTTATATTGTGAAACAATTTTATGGAGGGAAAAAACATGTGATGGTTTATTATATATGTTCCTTATAAATTTTAACATTCCAAATTTGCATTTAACAGTGGTTTTACTACTTACGTCATACGTGTTAAATTTAATCATTTGAAATTTGATGAATCAATTTGTATTCTGATTTTTTTAAGGGAAAAGGGGCAAAGGTGAAGGGTTTGATAATATTCCAAGCATTCAATATATTTTTCACTGTTTCAAGTAGCTGAAAGTAATAGCTTTAGAACCAATTTATTCTGAACCAATAAGAATTCAGTGCAGATATTCTGAACCAATAAGAATTCAGTGCACATATTCTGAACCAATAAGAATTCAGTTTACATATTCTGAACTACTAAGAATTTTGAAATTTTCTTATGCTAGATGACATTTTAAAGCATCGTAACAAACCATATATTAAAATCGGGGTTTAATCAAGGAGTAAGATAATTCCGAACACATCATTAAGTACAATTACTGTTAAACATTTAAAACCCAAAAAATTATAATTAGGGATTATTAGCCAGGCTTTCAACTTTAATGTTTTCTGTGTTCAGTGTCTCAATCCTGATGTTGTAGTCCCGCCCTTCATCCATCAGTTCATTTCAATTAGGGTTTCCAACGCAAGTGGATTTTGCTTACTCGTAATTGCGAGCCCTGTAAACTCCTCGCAATTTCGCGCAATTCAAGAATAGTTGCGCGCAATTCGAGAACAGTTGGGCGCAACTCCGCGCAACAGAATTGCGATTGGAAACCCTAATTTCATTTGATATTTTATCGATATTTTAACTTAAATGGGGTTTCACTAGATATTTTTAAGATATTTTTTAACACTCATCGCTATTTAAATAAAGTTTTCTCCACTAATTCATAATTGGATTTAAAATGTTCCAACATTTGAATACGATTTTAAAATCTGACTAATTTTGTTTTAATTACAAATTATCTGCATTTTGTAACACTTCAAGCTTCCAAAAAGTCCACTCACTTTACTAAAATGTTTTTTGCTTTATTTTTTCTTTTCTTTTCGCTCTCTGTATGGATCTCAGTCGTCAATTAGTTTCTGAAAAGAGTTTCTTTTCTATGGAAAATAATTGGCCTCTAGATTGATGAAAACCAAACGGCTTGCATTGCTTTGTGCACTCACCAATTCGTATACAGCTTTAAAGCATTGGTGTTTTCGACCTGGGGTTTTATTTTTTGTTCTTTTTCAGACCTCAACATTTGGAGTTTTATGAAACATCAATATTATCTCTAAGTTTGCATTTATTCAGCTATTTACCTGTTTTATATTTACAGAAGTTATCTAAGCGATTTCTGTAAGATAAAAAATCAATCTTCATGCAATAAAAAAACAAACTTAGAAAAGTATGAATAACATTTCTGATTTTTGTGGAGCATAAAAACTGCAAATCTTGACGGTTAAAAAAATAACTTTAAAAACGAAGTCCATGTTTAGCACGAGTCCATATATCCTATTCAGTCTCTCTGTGTGGCATTAATTTCTCCTTAACACGTGTATTACTGTTATGTACAATTTAAACAATAAATATTTATCGTCTTATAAAATATTAATTTTTTTCTCATTGATAATTATCTATTTTGTTAAATATGGGTATGCATGGATGAGGGAGGGAACCCCCTGACACCGTGAGACTCTCAGATATGCTAGGTAGACCGAGCCGCCGCGATGCAGTAAGAGTATTCGCTATGCAGTAAACTAGCTTCAGCTATACAGCACAGCTTCCTTACAACTCAAGGTTTTTACATGGAAAATAGAATTTTTCATTTTTTCAACAAAGTGGCATAAGAATTTTACTTAAGATTATTGTTTATGGATTGTCTGCATGATTTTTAACTTATATTGACTCACAAAGTTGTTTATAAGATTTATGTTTTACAATAAAACATTTCTTACGCAGTAAGGAGGATATTTGGAAATTAATTTCTTAATTAAACATAGTTTATATTGTTTTAATATTTGATTTATGCAATGTCTTTTTTGGAAAATTTATTTAGATTCAGATTATTTGTCAAATTTTTGATTATCTTAACCGGATAAAAATTTCAAAAAAGGTTTCGCTTAAATAAAAGATAATAAATATCAAATGAAATTACTTAATTTATTCTCTAAATGTTTTCCTTTATATGGAGGCTCGTGGCGTCAGGGGGTTCCCTCCCTCGCATGATTCTCAACGTTGTTTTCCTTTTTACGGAGGTTTTTAAATCATTTTAAGTAACTGTAATTATTCCAAGTTTTAAACAAAATTTTACATTAAAATCCGAGCCTCCTTCGAAATAACTACTCAAGGCATAAACAATGTATATTTACTCTTTAATGAATAACATGAAGTTTACCTTGTATTTCTGAATTTTTAACTCTTCTTTAATAGTCTCTGCCATTCTATCTGAAAAAAGCTTAAATTTGAAAAAAAATAAATACTGCAGATTATAAATTATTTTCAACAAAAAAATATTAAGTACAAAAAAGTTCATTATTTTGTGAGAAAACATAAAAATCCTAATTTTTGTATATCCTAAATGTTTTTCTTTAGAAAATTACTATATTTTCAGAAAGTCTAATATTACAATAGCAAATCAGCCATTTATATTATTATTATACAATATACAGTAAACAACAATACTAACTAAAGATTGAACTAAAAGATCTCTGTTCATGAGTGACCAATGACTCTTTTCAACTATAATAAGAAAAACAGCAGCATTTTTGAACTTATTAAGAACTTGCACGAAAACAAAATATTAAAATGTAAAAGTAGGATTTTGGTAACCAAAATATTTGTAAAGTATTGGAATTACATAAAACATATAATATTCAGGATATCAAAGAACATACTTAAATTAATATGCAAAGCTAAAGAAAGCTTTTTTCATTATAAATACTTTCATATCTATCTTGATTACACACTAACTTTGAAAATAAAGATACCTAACACTTATGCTTTATTTTAACATGCCTCTCTAGACTATGTATTGTAGTTGCAGCATACTCACATTCACTACAGGGATATCTAACTCCTTCATGTTTATTTTCAACGTGTTTTTTCAAGTTACTTGCTTGAGTTGCAATATACTCGCATTGAGAACATGGATATCTCACATATTCATGATAACTTTCAACATGTCTTTTCAAATTACCTGCTTGAGATGCAATATACTCACATTGAGAACAAGGATATCTCACTCCTTTGTGTTTATTTTCAACATGTTTTTTCAGATCACCTCCTGTAGTTGCAATATACTCACATTGAGAAAAAGGATATCTCACTCCTTCATGTTTATTTTCAACATGAATCTTCAGAGACCATGCTGTTGTTGCAATATATTCGCATTGAGAACAAGGATATCTCATGCCTTCATGTTTATTTTCAACGTGAATCTTCAGAGACCATGCTGTAGTTGCAATATACTCGCATTGAGAACAAGGATATCTCATGCCTTCATGTTTATTTTCAACATGAATCTTCAGAGAACATGCTTGAGTTGCAATATACTCGCATTGAGAACAAGGATATCTAACTCCTTCGTGTTTATTTTCAACATGAATCTTCAGGGAACTTGCCCTAGTTGCAATGTACTCGCATTGAGAACAAGGATATCTCACTCCTTCATGTTTTTTTTTAACGTGAACCTTAAGATTTTTTTTAACTTTATCAATTTATTTATTTTTAATTTTGTTTATGAAACAAATTATTTGATACATGTATTAATGCAGAATGCAGATACTCATTTTTCTAATCTTCTTGTTTCCTGGCTGTCCTGTTTTGCTCATTCAATTAGCTGCATACCCCTGCCCCCCCAGGAGGGTTAATATGCAGTTTCGAGAGCTGATCAGGCAATTTGTAGTATTTCAATATCAGCTCTCGAGTTTCTATATTTATTCCAGTTGTTTTTGATATCGGCGATCTGTGCAGGTTTATTGCTGACATTGTTGTAATGAGAACTTCCCTTTGTCAGCTGCATTACATGTATCAGTGTCTTGCAGTAATTTAGAAAGAAATTAAAAGAACTCCAAGCCTTAACTGCATTCGGATAGGTTCAAGGTGATTTAGATGTACCCCCTAGGAAAGGAACACCCAATGAAACCAATGATGATCTCTCTCAGAAAGTTTTGATTAAGATTCCACAGCAAAGTATATTATTATTATACAATGTACAGTAAACAACAATACTAACTAAAGATTGAACTACAAGATCTTTGTTCATGAGTGACCAATGAATATTTTTAACTATAATAAGAAAAACAGCAGCATTTTTGAACTTATTAAGAACTTGCACGAAAACAAAATATTAAAATGTAAAAGTAGGATTTTGGTAACCAAAATATTTGTAAAGTATTGTAATTACATGAAACATATAATATTCAGGATATCAAAGAACATACTTAAATTAATATGCAAAGCTAAAGAAAGCTTTTTTAATTATAAATACTTTCATATCTATCTTGATTACACACTAACTTTGAAAATAAAGATACCTAACACTTATGCATTATTTTAATATGCTTATTTAGATTATGTGTTCTAGTTGCAGCATACTCACATTTACTACAAGGATATCTAACTCCTTTATGTTTGTTTTTGACATGTCTCTTTAGGTCAGATACTGTAGGTGCAATATACTCGCATTGAGAACAAGGATATCTAATTCCTACATGTTTATTTTCAATATGAATCTTCAGAGCACTTGCTTGAGTTGCAATATACTCGCATTGAGAACAAGGATATCTCACTCCTTCGTGTTTATTTTCATCATGAATCTTCAGAGCACTTGCTTTAGTTGCAATATACTCGCATTGAGAACAAGGATATCTAACTCCTTCATGTTTATTTTCAACATGTTTTTTCAAGTTACTTGCTTAAGTTGCAATATACTCGCATTGGGAACAAGGATATCTCACTCTTCCGTGTTTATTTTCAACATGAATCTTCAGGTGACTTGCCCTAGTTGCCATATACTCGCATTGGGAACAAGGATATCTCACTCCTTTATGTTTATTTTCCATGTGAATTTTCAGGTGACTTGCCCTAGTTGCAATATACTTGCATAGAGAACAAGGATATCTCACTCCTTCATGTTTATTTTCAATGTGAATCTTCAGAGCACTTGCTGTAGTTGCAATACACTCGCATTGAGAACAAGGATATCTCACTCCTTCGTGTTTATTTTCAACATGAACATTCAGAGCACTTGCTGTAGTTGCAATACACTCGCATTGAGAACAAGGATATCTCACTCCTTCATGGTTGTCTGTAACATGTAATCTAAGGTCAAAAGCTCTGGTTGCAACATATAAACATTTATCACAAGGAAATCCCATTATACTTCTCTTAGTTCTCTTTGGTTCCGGTTCAAATCCTTGATCCATGTTTTCTCATGAATAGATAAAGATCGATTTTTATATGAAATATTTAATTATCTTCATCGTTAAAAACTTTAATATTTTTGAACTGCATTTATTGTATTCTATCTATTTCTGAATTGTTCCATTTATATTTATTGTTTAATTAAATGTAAGATTTCCAATTACCTGAATCCTCTATTTCATCTTTAAAGATTAGCTCAGGTGAAAATCAGGATCAAATACAGGTTGATTCTCAATCTTATCTAAACATATATGAATGTGTTTAATTAGGATTTCAATATTTTCTAAAATTATGTCTATTTAATCTATTTTAAGGTGANTACAGGTTGATTCTCAGTTTCTAAAAAATAAAAATAAATTGTTGAGTTTTCTCACACATTTTCCATTTAAATTCATTATAAGAACATGATGAAGTAAGCACTTATAGCACAACATTTTTTTCTTAACATATTTTTAAAAATATCTAAGCTTTTAAACTAAATCTAACTGATTCTGTTGAACTTGGAACATATCATATTCTTAATTCTATAAAAGACAGCTGCCTGCTTTCTCTCAAGCAGAACGGACCTACTATTCAGTCCCAGAATTGTAGCTGGGGAAGTGCTGTGTTTAGTTACGCATCTAGTATCCTACAGGGGAGGCAAGAATTCTACATAGATTAAAACAAAACTTCACCTTCAGCTTGGTTCACTGAAAGAGGAGTTTAACCCCTCGTGGGAATACAAGCCATGCACAACGATACCGGTTTTTTACTCGACCAGATGTGAGGACTGGACTACCATGGAAGATACCTCTCAAGAGAGCTTTCAGGGATCACAACTCCCCATTTTGCATATGGGGTGCAGTTATGGGTAAATTCCTTAATTCCCCTAACTGGGAAACAGTATAAAATGAAGGAACACAGGGAGAAATCCCCTATACCCTTCTTCCTACAAACCTCCTTATCTCTCTCCTACCTGCTCCACAACTCGATGTTAAAAGAACTATTTGGAAAGGCCTTATGTAAAAACAACAAACAAGAAGCAAGAAGAAAAAATAAATTGAACAGAAAAAAGTGGAA